TAGATCCTCAGGATACGAGTGTTAGATTACTCTATATTTCCCCTTTCTCAATTTTCACCATGATCGGAGTTCTTTGTTCAATGTCTGTATTTTCTATTTTCTTAAAAATCTGTGAGAGTAGCGATATATCTGGCTTATACAGCACTCTACAGCTAGGGTCTAACAGTATTTCGCAAATAATAGATGCTTGGTGTTTGCTAAGTTCATTGAAAATCAAGGTCAGAAATACTTCCTGGAGTCTTTTAAGTTACTTAACCTTAATTACTAATAATCCAGTTAAGGCTACGTAATTTATAGCCTAAATGTATTGAGTAGGGGATGGGCAGTGACAATGAAAAGAAAGAAAAAGATACACAATTTTACTTACATAACTTGGATTTGGTCACTTTATTTCCCTACACCTCTTCTTTTTAATTCATAACAATGAGACAGGGATCATGTCACTGACTGTCAGAACCCAGTTATTAATGTGTAAGAGTGGCCAAAGCCATGAGTTTTAATATCAGCCCCAAAATATTCATAGTAGAGGCTTGAAAACCACAAATTTAATATTTCTCTTTGATTAACCTCTCTTGTTTTTCTGTATGTTATGTCTATTTAGAGACATAAATCTTTATCTGTGTTATTATAGATATGGATACATGTGTATTTTTCACCTTCTTCATTATGTTCTATATTCCCAGTCAGTCATCAAGCTAGACATCAATACACACAGCTTTCATTCTGTGTCATAAACCAATGATTCTCAAATGCTTTCCTATACTCTCCTGACTGTCAGACCTAAATATTCAGCTGCCTACTAAGCATCTCCATTAAAATATTCCGTAATCATCCCAAACCTGGTATGTTCTAAACTATATCTATTAACTTTATTGTTTTTGAGGAGAATAGAGATGATGACATATTAACCTGCTTGTGGTTAATGGTTTGTATAAAATTCATGAAAATTGTTTCTCTATAACATTTAACATTAAATATCTTTTGGCTATGTGCTGATGATAAAATAAGAAGGCAGGAGGACAAGATAACACACTGCAAACCAGATTAGCAATAAGCACTATGCCCTAAGAGCCAAACTCAAGGTTAATAATAATTTTTACAGTTGGATAGCTGCAGGAAAAAGATTACTATGAAATGATTGGAAATCACCAGTGGTTCCATAGATACCACAAGGCAACATTTATGGGACAGGTGGGTGTTTGGAGTAGAGATACTTTCACGCATCCTAGGAGCAGAAGATTGAACTAGATAAAATTGAGCTTCAATTATTGGAATTCTTCTGAATGCTCCTTTGCCTAATAACCCTTATGGTACCTGTTTGAGCCCTCTCTTTTCTGTTTTCTCCCAGTAAAACTTAGTGGCTCTTCTTTGTCCAATCTGTCCTATGGAACCCTTTTAAGACCTCTTTTGTCCAAACCTTCCCTTGGAGAAGGCTCCTGTCACCATAGTGATGACATGGGCATCGTCATTAAACTAACTTTCAATTTTTGATCAAATTTATCATCATCACTAATAATAACCTCAAGGCTTATGGCCAGGTTAGGGAATTCCTGGGCCAAGCATCTTCCCTCCCATCAACTGCCTTCTTGTATCCTAATTAATTAAAAATAATTCTTTTCATTAACTTCAGAAACCTATAAAACATCTTAGATATACTCACTCTTTATTCCTGGCCCATCTAACTACCAAAAAAAATATGTTAACTGTACTTCCTAAATAGTTTTCCACTACCATTATCTCGGTTCAGGATACCATCAAATCTCACTTGCATAATGTCAACAGATTTCTAAATGTTCTCCTTGTATAACGTTTCTTTCTATTTCAAACCCCATCTATTATTCTCATCCTATTCTCATTTACCTTGGCATCAAAGTGATCTTTCTAAAATTCAAAATTTACCAGATCACTCAATTACTAAAAATGTTTCAGTGGCTCTTTTTAAAATATTCTGTCTTGGCACGTAAAGCCCTTATTAGCTAACTCCAGCACAGTTCCGCTCCAGTTCCATGGCTTACCATTATTTTGTCTGTGTTCTACATTCAAGGTGCACCAGGAACTATGTTTCGCTCATCTATGAATTCCTGAAGCTATATTTTGGAAGCCCTGGATATCTTATTTTTATTAATGAAAATCAATCAATCATATAACTTCAGGTACAAGAGTCTCAAAATAAAAAGAAAAGCAATATTCACTGAGCTGAATTCTAACCAAATATCTGACTATGTTAAGAGCATAGCCCAAAGCCAAGAAAATTGTGTGTGTGTGTGTGTGTGTGTGTGTGTGTGCGTGTGCATGTTTATTTTTAAGTGGAAAAGTGGAGGAGCTTTTTAAATTTGAATATATAAAGATGACGTTTGGAAAAATATGACAGAAATTGTTGCACATTTTGTTATAAATTCTACTTCACATTTCAACTTCAAGTGAAAGAAAAACGTTTGTAAAAAGTAGAAACATAGTATTTGGTCTAAAACACTAATTGAAAAAATACCAATATTTCTTCTGAACTGAATGTAGAAAAGGTAATAGTTAAAAAGCCTAAAAGCATTCCCTAAAATAAATCCATTTTTAATGCAATTTTAAAAGCCTATGTTATTCTTAAATAAAGTCTAAATGGAAGCCTCAATTTTCTTTACTTATTAATGAATTCGAAATATTCAAAGTGGTTGTTCTTGCTATTGAAAAGTGCTAGATAGCCAGATGCTGACCCATGGATAACTTAAAAAAAAAAAATGAAAGAAAAGCAAAAGAAGAAACTGTTAGCTTTTCAAAAAAGGGTATGGGACTCTGAGAGTATCATTGCGTTTCAAGAATTTAATATAAAACACCTACATTTCTCTGAGTTGTTCAATCAAAGGATGGTGCACTGGCATCTATGCAGATGTGTTTGCCCATCTTTTTTCTCCATTTTATAAAGTCTAATCTTCTTAAATATTATACAACATCTGTATCTTTTTCATGCTATGTAACTTCCACAGAGCTCATACAATGTAATTAATACACACAATTAGTGCAATCTGGCTTCTGCAGAGCATAAAGTAGACACTCAACACATGCTTGTCAATTGAATGAGGCACTGCATTTTAAATGCTACCCTTAATTCATTGGTTGGCTCCCTACACAACAATCCATTAGTCTCTTTTTTTATTTCTTAAAATATTTATCTTTATTTCTATCTGCCATGTTCCTAGCCATCTGGGTACAAATATGTCTGGACAGAGATCTCATACCAGGTTTGCTTACCCTATTTCTGCTGTCTGGGATGCCTCCTTAACCACACCCATGTCACTCTTCCTACTGGAAAACTAGGCTACATCTAAGTGTCACTCTAAACCCTGATACTTAACTGAAGTGCTCCCTGTTCATTCTAGTTAATGACACTTTCTTCCTCATCCAAACGCATATTGTATTTCATTTGCATCTCTCATGTGGTACTTTTCTCTTTCTACCTTCCATTCTAATTTTTTCAGCTTATCATTCTTTCTAGAATACGAACTCCTTACACATAGGATCCACATCTAAGTCACTTTTGTTTCACAATTTTCTTGCTCAGTGCTATTTAACTATAAATATATTTTTAAAATAATGCTTTCTACCCATAAGAGAACCTCTTGGAGGTCTTTTAACTTATAGTTTATATACAATTTTAATAAGCTTGATATGAAGGAACAAGAGGTAACAAAACATGAAAAGCAAACACAAGCCTCTCTAAACCACAGCTCATTGGAATCACTTGTGTGGGAACAAACAATCTTTATATACTAGGGGATGATAGTAAGATGCAAGTCAGAGAAATAACTGATGTGCATAAAATATACCCTGAATCTTAAATACTTTAATGTGCTATTTACTATTTATTAATAATACCTTATTATGCAATTATAATAATTCAATAAATGTACAGGATAAGGTAACTTTTAATTTAATAAATTATTAATAACTATTACTAACAATACCTTATTCACTATTTAGCTATATTAATCCAATAAATTTTTAGGGAGCTTTAACATTTACAAAGCATTTTTACATCTATTATAAAAGTCTTCACACTATGGCTAAAAAATACTTAAATATCAAGCCCACCAGATTTTGCAGAAGAAAAAGCTGAAAGTCAGTGGGTCAAGTTAGATGTTCCTAGGTCAAACACTGAAAAGTGGGAAAGTCAAGGTTCAATTCTTAGTGTGGTAACTCTGGGAGTAAAACAGACTGAGTTCTCACTTACTGCCTTTGAGACACTGAAAGAGAGAAACAAAACTAAATGAACAAGCAGTGTGTTGTGTTGTTTCAATGGAGAAAAATGATGAACAGAGAGGAGAACGTTTTGAGATAAAGTGATCAGGGAAAACATTGTTGTAAAGGTTATTTTTAAGCTGATGCCTGAATCATGGGAAAGAGCCAAGCATTAAAACAAACAAAAACAGGGAAAGAGCATTCAGGTATAGAAACAGACTTGCACAAAGGCCTTAAAATCAGAAATTTCAGTCTTCTTCCCATGATATAAAATATCCTTCATGAAGTGGCTTCCAAATGCTAATCACATGCCAGCTGTTCTTCATCCCTTCTAGCCCTCACACTCAAAGACATTCTAAGCATTTCCTGCACTACATCTTCCTTTATCCTTTTGCAGATGCGATTTCCTCTTCCAGGCATCTCTATATTGAAAACAAATATTGCTCCCCTAAAACTTCTATCAGGGGGACTTCATTCTTTCATCTTTAACTATATCCCTCACTCCAGTCCAACTAACTGTGTCTCTCCCATATATTTTAAAAACAGTCTCATTTGTTTATTAACAGCTTCAATGAGGAATAATTAACATAATGTAAAATCACCTGTTTTAAGTATACAATTCAATAACTTTTAGTATATTTACAAGAATTGTACAACTATCATCACGATCTAATTTTAAAACATGTCCATCACTCAAGAAAGAAACTTAATGTTCATATATAGTCCATCCCCATTCCCACCCCCAACCTCCTTTCTGTTTCCATAAGATTTACCTTCTCTGAACATTTTACATAAAGGGAATCATATCTACGATATGTGCTCTTCATATCTGGTTTCTTCCACTGAGCATGTTTTTGAAGCTCATCTCAGCTGTACGTATTTCAGTCCTTCTTTCTTTTAATTGATGAGTAGTATTCCATTGCATGGATGTACCGTATTTTGTTTATCCATTCACCAGTTGATGGACACTTCGCCATCCAGGTTTTGTCTGTTGTGAATTACACTGCTGCTTTATTTTCTCTTTGTTTTTACACATCTATCTCCCCCTATTGGGCTATGAGCACCATTACAGCACTCAGCACAGTGCAACACTTTCTTTAGTCTCAGCAACAGCTGTTACTGGTACAGAGAAGGTACTCATAAGTTTGCGGAACTCTGAGCCCAGATCCCCCTCTTCAAGATGGAGGCACTCACAGCGCGCTGAGGCTTACCAACCAGTTCATCCCCAGAGATTGCTCTTTGCTAGGAAGCTAATTTTCACTAAGAATACTGCTGAGGAGCAGCCTGAATCCAAGGACTGATCTATGTGAGGATGCAAAGACCTGGACCCTTGCCTCCATCAGTACATCTCTTCAGGGCATTCTAGCCTCATAGCATCCTGTGGGATCTGCCGAGGCTTCAGTTACCACCACAGCCCAGTCACTCTCCTCCTACCCAGTCCTGCCTTCCTTGTCCTCCCCTCCAGCTCCGCTGTGTTATGGCTGAGAGCACTCCCTAATAAAACTTCTGAAAGCAAATCTCAGTCTCAAAATCTGTTTCCTGGGGAAGCCTGGTCCGCTTGTGGCATACAATGATATATTGCCCCCTTTTACGTGGTGAGTTCAGACAAGGAAGTTGGCTATTAAGGATATATAATCTTCAATACCCCTTCTTTAATCACAGGCAGTGTGTAGTCTGTTTGTGGTATAGCTGCAACCTAGTATATGTAATCTAAGTTCTATCTGACCCTTGAGGATGTTAATCAAGTTTAGCCTAAAGCCGCCTCGTTATATAAGTTCGGCCTAAAGGTTTTTCTGTGCATCATGAACTATAACAAGTAGAGGTGTAAACTGACGTTAGCCCACACCTTTGCTAGTCACTGAGTTTTGGCCAAATGTAGCCAACTGTTCAAACCATGTTCAAATAAGACAAACGCCAACCAGTAACCAATCCAGCTGTCTCCCTCACTTCCCATTTCTGTACATCATTTCCCTTTATTTTTATCCAGAAATCTTGTTGCACCACGTGGCTGCACTGGAGTCTCCCTGAATTGGCTGTGATTCTGGGGCTGCCCAATTAGCAAATTGTTTATTGCTCAATTAAATTCCTTTAAATTTAATTCAGCTGAAACTTTTCTTTGACCAAGAATAAGATCAACTTAACCCCCTTCCCATTCTTTGCTACTTGAACATCAAAAGCCCTATTCAAGATTTCTATGAATTATTGAGGAGTAGGAATAGGAGTTCCTCAGGCCTCCACTGTACATTTGATCAGTTTACAGACTTTATTGCCCTACCTACTGTCTTTATTTTGAACTTTATCAATCTAAACAGACCCCTTCCTCAATATTTGCAAAAGTTACACTTATTGTTGAGTATAGTGGATTTTGTTGAATATATGAATACACAAAGAAATATATGAGGACACAAAGAAAGGGTTTACACTTTAATAAAACCAACATTTTCGGTGGAGTACTAGACTTCACTCGTCTTAAATTTTCCTTTGTCCTTCCTATGACGAATTTTACCCTGGTCACTTCATTCCAAGGAGTGTGTCAACCTCAGGCCACCTCACTGGTTTTTCTCATTCTCCCTGTCTTAATGACTTCTCACTCACTTTTCTTTCTTTCCCATTTCCTCTTTCTCTCAGGACCATATTCCTCTCAATTTTTTTTAATGTAGATAGTAAAGCTCTCTGTTGCCTTTCTACCCATTCACTCGGAACCCGTTTGTATCCCAAATGGCTTTCAAGTCTCTTTCGTTAGTTATCTCCTAAAAGCAATTCTTGTGCCAGCCATTAAGATAATGCATTTTTTAATTTTTACTATGTAAAGATGCATAATTCATTGTAGAAAAAATACTAATACATTTGTTATTTAATATTTCTGAGTGAAGAATTATGCTTCCTTTCTGAGTTCGATACAGGTGGCACTATACAGACCAGAGCAGACTGCCTAAAATGTGTTTTTAAGTTTTGGATAAAAGTACTGTGTCAAGGGTCGGAAAGAACACCGTCTGGCTTCATAATTCATTAGAAGAGTCACAGGATTCAGAAGCTGTTATATATACATTTTACTATGGTGGAAGGATTCAGGTTAAAATCGGCAAAGGAAAAGGGAACATGAGGCAAAGTCTTCGAGAAGCTGAGCCCAAGCTTCCTGGTGTCTCTCCCAGTAGAGTCACACATGGATACACGTAACTCTCCACGAAACGGTAAGTGACAATACATGTAAAGTGTTGCTAACCAGGGAAACTCACCCTAGTCTTGATGTCCAGGGTTTTTATTAGAAGTTAGTTACTTAAGTATGCAACATCTGCACGACTAGCTTACCTAATCAGACTCCAGACCCCCAAAGTAAAAACAGGTGTTCACCATAAATCACATTGTTAGCATGTACTATCTGGTCAAACTGGTAAAGCATGCCCCAAGGCCTTAGGCATACAAAAACACTTATCAGGCAGACATCAAGCCGAGCTCCCATGGACAGCCAGGACCCAGTCTGCAAAACAGGATTTTGTTGGGAATATAGAGAATTTTAGCAAACCAGTCTGTTAGGACATTCATAGGTACTATGGTGACTCTAGCATATAATTTCCAGTGCCATGTCTAGTATCCTATTCATTACATTTATTCATTCATCTAGGCATTATAATAGAATAAATATCTCAGAAAGATAGCTCCAGCCAGTCATGCAGTATGTGTCACTATGAATTAAAGTACTTCAAAGAAGACACTGGGAAACTTCTTAACTTCAGATCTGTTCCACAGCTGGGAATAAACAGACATTCTGAAGATTCCCTTGATGAGTGTACAGAACTAGATGTTGTCCCCATTCTGGGAAAGAGGTTGCATGAGATCTCAGCTGATCCTATTATGTACGTACCTATTATGTAACCTATTATGTACCTATTATTTACCAAGTACCTATTATGATCCTGTTATGTACCTATCTATTATGTATCCTATTATGTACCTATTATATATCCTATTATGTACCATGTGGAGTCTTCTCTACCTGGTCCTGTTTATTGTTTTGTCCTTTTGTGTCCATCATGGTTAATCCCACCAGCATTAGGGAAAATATTGAAGCATTACAAAGTGGAAAAGAGTGAGGAAGTAAATCAACTCTTTTTCAGGGACATTGCCCTTTGTACTACATAACATTGAAAAATAAGGTCAGTATCTCCTCATAGACAACTGAATTTGCTAGGACTGTAACCTGAGAAACTGTCTACATCCACTACTCTTTGCATAAAGCAGAGTAATAAAACTGGCCCCTTGAAAAGGAGGGCAGAGGCAAAAGCAAGCAGCAAGTATAGCTAATAGACCTGCCACTCATTCAGGGTTGCATTTGGTAGAATCTGTCTTTCTTTGTCCCTTTCTTCTTTCCCTGCTTTCTTTCTTCTTTCCATTATGTTCCTCCTTCCTTTTATTCCTTTCCTCTACCCCTCTCTCTTTCCCTTTCCAGCCTTTCTTTTCTTCTGTTAACAAATATTCACAGAACTCTACTAGCTCTCAAAAACTGTCCTCTGCACTAAGAATCCAGGACTAAATGAGGGCAATAGGGCCACTGCCTTCATGAAACGTATAGTCTCACAAGAACCAGCTTTCTAAAGCATAAAAACTTCCATGACCAGCCACTCTTCACATTTGAACACTTGCTTCACTCTCCTGGCTACTCTCTGGTCACTCACCACTGACTCCATCTTAAAGCCCAGTACCTCAAGCCACACTAAGATTTCTTCCTTGCAGGGCCTCATGGTTAACTTTTGTGGTCTAAGCCTTGAGTGTTCTGCATCCTCTGTTGTAATACTCTTTCCACCCAAACGCCTGCTATTGTCGTGGTTTCTTCTATTCATCCCTCAGGTTTCCTCTTAGTTCTAAAGCAGGGAAGCCTTCTCTGGCTATCCTCTGAGATCAGTGCTACTTCTCAAACACCTCCATGCTGGCATGCGAAAGAAACAGGCATAGCAGCTGTCACTGCAAGCTCCATGCCTGAGCCACACAGGGAAACCTTTCCTACGACACATCAGATACACCCACAGGAAGCCATTCCTTTGAATTGTTCTAACTGTAGAATACATTTGAGTAATTTCTGCAGCAAATGAATGCTCTCTCAAGAATTAGAAGGAGAATGTAAAACAAAGAATCAACATCTCACTTCTGCTACTCTGAAGGAAATAGGCACAGGGTTTCTCTATCTTGTTATTAATCCTTTGTTCCCCATTATTCCTTCATTCAACATTCAATAATTGTTTAACTCTATCGTGCCCCCACATAAACATGGTTTCTTCTCGGGGACTCTCACAGTCTTCTTGTTGGCCATGGTATTAGATTCCTATTTTGCTACTGTCACAAATTACCACAAGCTTCATGGCTTGAAACAACTAATTTATTTTCTTATACTTATGGGAGTCAAAAGTACAACACAGGTCTCACTGGGTTAAAATCAAGGTGTTAGGGATGTGTTCCTTCTGGAAGCCCCAGGGGATAATTTATTTCCTTGCCTTTACAGCTTCTTGCAGCTTCTTGAGTTACCTGACTTAAATCCTTCCTCCTTCTTCAAAGCCAGCAGCATAACATCATCAAATCTCCCTGCTCCCTGCTTTTATTGTCACATCTCCTCTGTCTTATAAGGACCTTTGTAATTATGTTAAATCCATCCAGATAACCCAGAATAATCTTCCTATCTGGAGAATCTTAATTTAACCACATCTGTCAATTCCTCTCACCATGTATGACAACATATTCATATGTTCTGGGGATTCGGACATAGACATCTTTGGAGGACCATTATTGTATGCCTTAGCCATAAATGGTTTTCTCTGCAACCACTAGAGACATTCTTTCTACTTCATATCAGAAATCTCTTTAAATTACTTGATTCTGCATCCCTCCTGTATTAAGCAGTGGTGTAAACTGGTCTTGGTATGACCTTAGTGTATTGGTTTGGATTTATTTGTATGTTTCTGGTTGGCTTTTTCCCTGCCTCATTGACCTTGCTACTAACATCCTTGTTATACTCCACCACTAACTGCATCAGGAAGCCTGGCCCTTGGTGACCACATGTATTGCTCTAGCT